ACGAACTACTTCGATAGGCGGCATGATGACGTATCTAAATTGCATATTAGTCATTTTGATAAGCGTACAATTGGGATGAAGGGGCATGAGTTCAATGTGATGAGATGAGAAGAATGAGCTGATGCAGGATCGCTGGTTGCAAACAGGCCCGTTATACATGCAAAGATAAAATATAAGACAGCAGAGAGCTGAAGCTGGGACTGGGGATGATAGGCAATGGTAGCAGATGGAATACTTACTGCAACAATCTAAATAGCAAGTCAGTACATTATTACAGACCGGGTAAGGATTAGAGGATCTACTCACCAAATGTGCTCGTACTCTCACTTTCTAATCCTCAACAATCTGGGGACACACGGCCTTTAAAATGCCCTATCTCACCATACTGGTGAAATAATTGAACAACATACCTCGAAGAACAGAGGCATCTTGATAGGTCTGGATTGCCATCTGCACTTGTGGCACAAAAGGCGATAAGGACCACTTTCGACAGGGGAATTTTTCCAACCGCGCGACTTGGTTCTTCCACAGTCGTCACAGGAGAATTCCAGTGCTTCAACCCGCCTTCGAAGCAAAGGTAGCCATTGAGGCCCATTACTACTCGTTTGTCTGCAAGTTCTGGCAGAGGGATTGCCAGAAAACTTTGCTCCATGTCACGTCCTTGTCGTTCGTGCAATGCCAGCATTCGGCCCGTGGAGTCGCCATTCTTTCGACCTTCCTGGCCGCTGCTTCATCTGGGCCTTCCTCCTTGCAGCAATTTTGGCACAGCCAGCCATCCTTATGCTTGTGCCACCCTCTGGTTCCACAGGATAGGCATTTCTTGTCTCTATCGAGGACTCTTTTCTCTTCCAGTTTCGCAGCCCGTCTCGACCGGTCATGGCAAATTCTACATCACCAACTCGCCGCCTGTTGAGCCGCACCGCAAATGTGCAGGACTTTTACATCCAGGCTTAGCACATACTGCACCTCTCCTTTCTTCGACCAGTGATTGCCGCAGGCATTGCGAAGTCTCAGTCCATATTCTGGACGCCACAGACAGGGGTGATTGCGCTTCAACTAATGCCTGCAATTATAGCACAGTGTGGCTTTCATGCCCTTTGTGACGCCCTGATTTAGCAGCAATGCCATTTCGAAAGGCTCGAATGGAGCCTCATGCCGTGTAACAAAGGCTTTGACTTCATCAAGCAGCTCCAAGATAGAAATCGGATTGCATCCGTTAGCTCTTGGGAATTTGTAAGTCGAAAGCATGAGCATCATGATCGACTCCAACAGACTAGCAACCACATTGGGATCCTGGACCCGACAGCTGGGGTCAAAGGCCCTTGCGAAAAGCCCGATGGGGATAAAGTGCGGCTCCCAGTTCTTTTCAAAGAAATCATGGTGAGCACCCGGTTCACGAAGTCCACACTCACTAGCATGCTGCCGAAAACACCACCATGACTTTCGGAACAAAAGAATCCCGTACATGCTCCACCATCATAAGGATCGTGCTTATTGTGGATATAATCAAGCTACACCCCCTTTGCGCGTGTGATCCTTGGTCACAACTGGCAATGCCAGTATCGCATCACGAATGAGCTTTGGCGCACCGCAAACAGTTCTTGCTTTCTGGATGAACAGCGACTTCGAGTTCGTTTACAAGGCTTTGGGACCTCTCCGTGCCCTGCTGGGTAGGCTTCTTCGTCTGATAGGCAGACTCGACCACCTCTGTTGCCTCATGATCTGAGGCCGCAGTCTCCTCCTCTTGATGTCTCTGAAGAAAGTTTCACATTGTCCTTTGTCTTGGAGACTTTGGAAGTAAGTCCATGTCTAAGCCTTGTGAAAGCTTGACCAAAAGCGCATAGAATACCTTCCCATCGCTCTCGAAACTTTGATTGGTATGCCGTGATGGTATAGTTGTCAAGACCCATTTCACCGTAGACAAAAGGTCCGGGGAAGCAAGGAAGAGTTGCTTTCTCTCGCATCTCATCCACCTCATCATCATTGAGATCCTCATCCTCACGGTCCGAGTCATCCAGCACCGAGTCACAGACACCAGAATCGTACTCGGTATCTTCGTTTGGATTCGGGGACCATCTTGGCCGCGGTTGAAACAGCTTGGTATCGCTCTTTCTGGTGCGGCGTACACCTGCAACCTTCTGGGCTGGAGCCCTCAAGCCCTCTTCTTCGGGCCACTCTTCGCCACGCTAGGGTCGAGTTCTTTCTCGTGCACTGAATCTTCAGACTTGTAAGCAGGCACGGACTGATCTCTTGTTCTTCGCCTGTGTCTTTTCAATTAGACGTGATTCTGCCCATGGAAGGGGATTGTACTCACAAACGAGATAATTTTCTGAAACTATCCTAAGGCTTCGTACAAGCCAGCTTGTAGTAGGGATTGTTTTCCGGAGAGAAAGAAGACGAGGACAAAGAGAAGAGGAGAAAGAAGAAGATGAACAACTGGAGGAAGAAGAAAAAGACGAAGAGCTAGAGGAAAAAGACATGGAGGACCTACATGAGGAGAATTGAATAAAACACCTACCTTTCTTCGTTATCTATCTTGTGAATGTCTACAATAGGCAAGTCAATGAATAAGACACTTACCTGCCTTGACAATCCATATGATGAATGTCCCTACAGGAACCAAGCTAGTGAAAAAGATCGCTACCCAACTTCGTTGTATATGTTGTGAATATCTGTTCAACCAGCAAGCCAGTGAATTTCAATAGATTCGTTGAATAATGGTCACAATGCTCATTTGGCACGCATGCCCTATGCGCTGAGATTCTACCAGTCGAGAGTCTTCACGTGTGCAGGGCATGAAGTGCTATCTGTTGCAACAGGAATCCCCAGCGAGACTGCGCCACTGAGTGGGGATGACTCTTTCTTGCCGCGCACAGCATCGCCTGCCCCGGCAGGCTTTTCGACTTAGACTCCATTCCAGCTATATTCATCTCCTGCCTCAGTACTTAGGACCACCAAGCCTTGTTTCGGAAAGTACTATGAGATCCCCCCGGTGGGAGTAGCAGTAACCCGAGTCTCCTTGGAACCCCCGACGCGCTGTCGAGGAGGGCTGGCCGATTTGCTAGTCTCCTATCTGTAGGCTAACTGTACCAGACGAGTTAGTGATCAAGGTGCCCTGTCTCTGCGCAGTTGCAGGGCTAGGGATCTGGCCCGCACCGGGGCATGTCGGCCCCCATGACCTCAGAGGGTTTATTGGGGATCCCGCTTGTTCTGATACTAAGTGCTTTGGCTCTTCTACATGGAAATTCTTGTTCTCTACTCTCGTGCCACTGAATGTTTGGCTAAAGTTACATATAACCCCTGAGCACGCTCGTAGCTTTGTTACTATTACTATTAGTATTGTTACTGTGAAGGGTTAAGAATACATTGAAACCGCATGAGTAGTACTTACTCTGAGTCGACGTATCGCTCAATGCCCGCAATGCGATTGACCGCATTCCGGGCCCATAAGAACAGGGAGCAGTCACCTGTTGCCAGACGATCCGAAGCGAGATTGACCAGATACTGACCCCAACCATCCATCCACCAAGTATCGATGATGCGGCCAATGGCGGCACCATAGTAGCCGAGCAAAACAAGGGCCATGGGCTCATCCTGCATCAGAGCATCTAGGAACTCCGACTGCACCACGGCAGCCCAACGCAGTAGAACGGATGCATTCTCCTTGTCGGCGCACATCTGGAGTACGCCCAAGAGACTCTCAGTGGCATGCACAACAGCAGGTGTTGTTGGTCGCTGATGGTGCGAGTCGAGATCATGCTGCCGCTGCCGCTGCTGTTCTTCATGCACTTCATGCAGGAGACGGTGAAGAGCTGTCGCATGATGTTCGATAGATGTTTTCTCCTGCATCCTCTCGACCGTCAACAGACCGCGCATGCCTCCGCTTGCAATCCATGGGCGAGCCTGCTTCACCATGAACGCCGCTCCGCGGATAAGCTTGAGGACCTCGATGACGTCCGACACGGACTGGGCTTTGGGCTGGGCGTTGGGCCCGTGAGCCGCGCAGGCGAACATAATGACCAAGCAGGCGAATGCGAAAAGAGCGTGACAGTTATCGGGCGTCACCTGGCTGAGGAGGGGAGAATATAACGAGAGAGCGGTGTTGTTGTGGGTCATCGCCGCTTCGATATACACCTGGCGCCGTTCGATGGGGCCGTAGCGCGTAAGGTGCAGCGCCGACAATGCCAAGAGGATGTGCATCAAGAAGGGGTGGCGCAAGGCCTCTTGCGGCACAAATGTCCGCAGCACCTCCCGGGTCGATTCCACGAGGGCCAGAGTCTTCCATATTGCTACATGCCAGTGGTTGAAAAGTTCGAAGTCAAGCATAGGAAGTTGTGTGCTGCTGTCAATCGAGGGGACAGCGCGAGTCGAAGGAGGCTGTGAGAGACTTTGAGGAGTGCCATCGCCATAGAAGGAACAATAGATGTTTCTCTTGCGACAGGGGCTGCAAATAGGACGCAATTCGTCACATTTGATTCGGCGCTTCTTACAGTCGAGACACCCGTGATGCGATTTAGGGTGTGAGCGCCGCAGTGGCATTTCCAATGTGGAACCGGAAGAATGTGAGGAAGAAGAATTGCGGAGAAATCGAAAATCGATGATGGCCTGAGATCTGAGGCATGAAGGAAGCCCCGGGCCGCCGTAAGCTATACCCTTCCGGGTATAGATCTCGAACGCGCCCACAATCGAGCAGTCATCAATTGGCCGAGCCATCTCGCTTATTGTTCTATTCTGGTTCGGCAAGGAATCGTACGTACCACCTCTAATACCTTTGTATCCACTAATATGCCCCCTTTCGCAACGCCTCCATCATTTCCAATGAGTTTCTATCTTGGCTCACAGTTTTCTTCCTATATGTGGAGAGTCGGCGCCTCCAGTATGAAGACTAGCCAATTCAATAAAAAGGCCATTCATCGCCTGCATGTCTCGATGAGAATCTCAAGTGCTCATCATCGCTGCAGACAACAAGCAGGGACCGACCGTTGGAAAAAGCAAGCAAGATGATAGAGCTCGCAGCTCGCTCAGCATTTCGTTACTACTACTACAGCCCCTCCGTGGCTGCAGCCGTCATTTTCATCATCTGCTTCCTTCTCACCTCGATCTGGCACACGTATCAATCATTCCGCACCAGAACATGGTTCTTCATCCCCTTCCTCGTGGGCGGATACTGTAAGTCACCGCTTCTCTCTCACACACGCGCCCTCTGCGTACGAAAACGACAACTGACCGCGTTCGCAGTTGAGTTCATCGGGTACTGCGCCCGCGCCGTCTCAGCGGAGCAAACGCCCAATTGGACGATGGGTCCGTTCCTAGTCAACTCTCTCATGCCGCTGGTCGCGCCGGCGCTGTTCGCCGCATCAATTTACATGGAACTCGGCCGGCTGGTTGTGACCCTTCATGCAGAGCAATACAGCCTGATCCGACCCAAATGGATGACCAAGCTCTTTGTGCTGGGCGACGTGCTGTCGTTCTTGCTCCAGTCCGGAGGTAAGAGCCCTACCCTCAGGTCACATTTGACGATCCCCCGATGAATCTCGCTCGTGCTAACGACCGACTCTTCCCCTCCTTGCGTACAGGCGCTGGTATGATGGCCGGGAAAACGCAATCCAGCTTCAAGACGGGGTCGAACATCATCGTCGTGGGCCTCGTGGTGCAGATCGTGTTCTTCGGGTTCTTCATCGTTACGACCGGCTTCTTTCACCTGCGGATGACGAAGCAACCGACCACATACTCGCTGAGCTCGGGAGTCAATTGGAAGAAGCTGATCTGGACGCTCTACGCAGCCAGCGTTCTGATCCTGGTGCGATCGATCTACCGGTTGGTGGAATATATCGAGGGCTTCGGGGGCTATCTGCTCAGCCATGAGGTGTACCTCTACGTGTTCGACGCCCTGCTGATGTTTGCCGTGATGCTGATCTTCCATTTCGTCCATCCGAGCGAGCTGAATGCGTGGCTTAGGTCGGGTGGATTGATCAGTAAGGGTCTGCGGTTCGAGCGACTGAATGGGGATGCGATGCAGATTGCGTGAGCGGTCTCGAGTGTTTTGCCTTTACTATACCATGTATCCGGAAGATTGGTTGGTTAGGGCCTTTTACCGGAACACGGTGTCATATCGATTCCAAGGTGGTAATCACTGTATTATACACGTGTATCTAGGCCGACGGGGTAGGGGGTTTCCGCAACTCTGAGCGATCTGTTAAAAGGCCAAGAACTGGGCACAGGTGTCTTGACACAGTCAAGAAGCGATTGAAATGGACAAGTATACTTGGTAAACGATCTTCTGGAGAATTCGTGCGTCTGAGAGTGGTCAAAAAGCTTCATTCTTGGGGTCGAGTTTCTACACTGGAAGGGTTGTGATCTTCAACAAAGACACTGTTCATAGATGGTGCAGTGTGCCAGATGCTCACTTCAATGACTACTAGCAAGAATCAGATGGGTGGAGGTGTGTATTCAAGGAATAGGATGAAGTACTTGTGAGGGAAAGTGATATCAACATTGTAGAATGATGTAGAGTATTAGGGGAGGATAGTTACACTAACGAACAGAATATCTGCAAACACGAAAGTAGATGACAGTCTAATCGAGCCCAAGATATGACCACATGAAAACGAAAGAGGAGGAAAGCGTATGGATATATGCTTCAGACACGGACAAATTGTAAAACCGCAAGCCCAGAAACCAAAAAACCGAGGCCTTTTTTCCCCCATGCACTAACTAGCCTTTTTTTCCAGACCGAAAATCCCAAGCACGCTTTTATCAAATTACCAAGAACCCAAGTATTATATCGACCACCAACTCAGGCCCATTTGCCGATCAAAGCCATGATACCAGCACCGAACAACATGCAGAGGACCATGAAAGTCAGGCGCTTGTTGTCCTGGGTGCGGTGAGGATCGAACAGGAAGTCCCGGGCCATCAACTCCACCAGGCCGGTGTAGATCAGGATACCGGCGGAAATGGCATCGAGCACACCGGAGACCACGTTGGCCGTGAAGGAACCCGAGTTGTACGTGGTCCTGAGTCCGAGACCGATCGCCACAGAGATAGGCGTAGTCAAGCCATACAGGGCACAGAGCACCCAGGGGAGCCAGCTGCCCTTGCGGAAGGGGATGGCAGACATGCGGGCGCCGATACCGAGACCCTCGAAGGACTGATGGAAGACGAGGACCGGGTACAGAGTGGAGAACTCATCACCGACGACACCCAGGTTCAGACCGATAATAACTGAGTGGAAGATGACGCCGAACTCAAGGATCAGGAAGGCGGCGATCTGTTGCTTGAAGGATCTCTCGATCCAGGCCTCGCTGGAGGTCAGCGATTCGGCGTCGGTCTCGTTCTTGCGCCGGCTGGTGGCAGCATCCTTCGTGACGGAGCTGTTGTCGGCGGCGCTGGTCATGATGGGCTCGGGATCCTCTCTGCAGATGCCGTACTTGATCTCGACGTAGCGCTCGGCGCCGAAGTCGAGGAGGAAGACGCACATGAGCGAACTGAGGACGATGGCGGGGCACCATGAGTAATCCGCCCAGTGACCGGTCATGCCAACGCAGGTCTGCGGGCCGATCTCGCCATAAGCAGGGTCGAGCAGGTGGATAAAGGCCGTTGCGATGATGACTCCTGCACCGAAGTACCGAGCGAAGAGGTAGACATATAGGGGGATGTGCAGGCGAGGAACGCGCTTGGCAATCACGGGAAAGAAGGTGACTGCGGTCGAGACGATGAAGATGACGAAGATGGCGGAAATACGCGCCCCCAGGTGTCCGTTGTACTCGTTCTCAGCGGCATTCAAGTAACAGATCACATCGACTGGGTCGGCAGTATCGAGATCGACATCGTTTGGGTTGAACGACATTTTTGAATATGCCTCGGAGGTCTATGCGAAAATCTAGACAAAGGAAGCTTGTTTAGGAAGAGATTTTCTGCTCTGACTGTCTTGCTGAGCCGAGTCCGAGCCTCTCTTTATATGGAGATATCGCTGAGGATGGTGGGCACTCCATGGGGACCTTGTGGAATGGTTGCCCACACTAAAAGAATGGATTGCATTGTGGTCTCACGCGATCCAGATTTTAACAGAAATGACAAGGAATTCATGACTAGCACTGGTTTCTTTTTTTGGCTTTCCATCAAACTCCAGGATTTGTTAGATGCGTTGTTTCTCTCCAACTGTGAAAGAGGTATGAACGAGGAAGGATGCGGTTGAGGGAGAAAATCGGCAGGGCAGCATTGTTGGCCTGAGGAACAAAAACCACAGCGAGCCGACAACAACCACAACCACCACAACAACCACCGGACAATCTCCGCCGCCACCTTTTCTTCTTGCCATCCAACTAACTCAACGGCCCCACCCACTACTCTTGCGTGTAGTAGTACCTTGTGAGCAAACAGGCACAGGCCAACAAGGAGCGTGGGATAATAATCTCGCCTACCGAACTACACCCATCGGTGCCCACCTGGTCCTCTCTAATCGCACCCAATGCTCTTACTGCGTCATACGCTCGGGGAGCTCCGGCTGACTCGATGCTTTCCAGACAGGTCCCCAATTGGCGCTTTACTGGGACCCTGACAGAAACTATTACGATTGCATAGTTCGCCTCGTTATTACTAACTACCTTGGAGGGGTGCAATCTTCTCATTTCCACTCGCAGAGGGCAAGTGATCATGGTCCTTTCTCTCAACCAGGGATACGGCTCTCGGAAACGCATCGGCACATTAACTAAGAGTCACCGAGTCGAATAAACAAGCAAGGAACAAGATTGCCTTGGCAGGTGGAAAGTCCAAGGTTCTCCCGAGAGCCATGCGCTCAGTGTCGCACTGTCAATCTAAACTCTCCGACGGCTACCCACTTGGTCTCGGGCCAGGAGCCTATTGTGTCCAGTCGAGCATAGACTTTGGCCAGGGCCGACACCAGTTCAGTAGCCTGCATCGGATACGGCGCTAGCTTGTTTGCCATGATCCTGATCAATCGACCATTGTGGATACCTTACTCATGTTATTGCCGAAAGTTAGCGAGGTGATGCCAAGGGAGGGTCTTATTCACCGGTGGGTGCCTATACCCTCGTCCATCAATGCCAAGAGAACGTATACTCATAGTTCGTTGCATACAGAACTGACATGGCATGTCAATGGCATGTGGCCCGACACAACGTGGTCTGCAGGGTCCCATTGCATGCATTCGGAATGTATGACTCTTAAGGGTTACATACTCTAGCAGACCACGGCTAGCTCAACATCTACAAACAATTCATAGTGGATCTGGATTGATTTCCGATTTGGCAGTTCTGAAATATAGCAATTTTCATTTCAGAAGCTATCATACGACATTTCCGTCACGATCATACATCGACAATCTCTCCTTCCGGGTGGCTGTCCATACATCGCCTTTCCACCAGTCGACGATTCAATGTGCGTTCTTCTCGGAACCGGTGAACTTGACATATCGGTTCGGGCGACTAGTGCATCAAATGCAATGCTTGCCGGAGTAGGGCGACATAGTCGAATTTAGTGCTAAAAACTCTCGTTAGGCATTCAACCCGAAAGAAAACGGAAAGGGGAGACCAACGCTGCAAGAGCTGCAGGAGCAGCTAGAGCAGTTGCCGGAGCAGCAGTTGCAGGAGCAGGGAGACATGTTGTTCGAGGAGAGGAAGGCTTAAAAGCGCTTGAAAAAGATAAGTTTGAAAGTGGGTTGGATTCTTTGATAGAGAGTCTGATACGCTTGATGATGGAAAGGAACCACGAGAGTACAGCAACATACACGCCCTATTTATACCTTTTCTGAGGTCCCCTCTGCCCGAATTCCGGCGTCTTTCGCGGTCAGTTGCCGGTCAAGGATCATGATACCACTCATCGCATTGGTTTGGCGGCGTGGGGGTAGTAAACAAGACAGCGAACCAGCATAGGCTGTGTGATGACAGCTGCGTCTCGCGAGTAGCTTTCCATGCAGCAAGTCGAATAACATCGCCAGGCTTGACTTTGACCAACCACCTGACTCTCATGGGCTGACCTCTTCCTTCTCCACCCAGTCCAACAGGTCTGAAGGCCTAAAGCCACGCTAAGAGGTCAGTCACCTTGCCATCACACGGGGTGGATTCGTATCCAGTGCGGACGGGAGCGGAAGGGAGGAGAGGGGGTGCGGATGATCATTATCATCTATTCCCTTCATTCCCATCTCTCTCACCCCATAAGACCGATAGAGACAAGAAAATAAATAAAGCAGAGAGAACCTTTCCAAAAGGTCACTGAATGTGCTCGAGGCCCATGATTCTTATAAAAATGGTGGGTTGTGTGTGGGTGAGCACCTTGAGAGCATGAGCACCTTGGTGGCTCTCCGGCCTCAAGGTCCTCGAGGTCCTCACCAAACCCTCCAAATTTTCACCCTCACATTTCCCTGCTCTCCAACCACCTGCAGTGGCTTAGCTTACGCGCCAGGAATCAGAGTTTTCACGTCCCAAAGTGATAGACACAAAAACTCACTATTTGGGTCTAGTTGCAGAGGTTCCATATCCCAGATCATGTGTCTCGTGAGGACTACCAGCAGGTATGTCTCCGATGCTAGACCTCATGATATACCCAGTCGCTTGCAGGAAGCACCAGAACCAAACCTAAACTGACTCATTCAAGTGAGCCGACTGGAGGTATCTGGTCCATAGGCTGTCGTCACAAGTTGAGTATAGCACACTCCAAATTCCTTTCTCCCTCCCTCTGCCCCCCAATCGGCCATCCCCGGCGAGGAGTCTATAGACATTCTATTTGACCATACGCCCTGAATTCTATTTCGCTTTCTTTTTCATTTACAACTTCACGTACTCCAAAGACTTCACGTACTCCAGAGACTAAATAGTGATACCATCGCCCGATACCTCCCCTAACCGGTTCCCACGCTTCTTTGACGGCGCCCACCGAAACCCCTTTTGACTTCATCAACCTTATCACCCTATACTCAGTAAAATAAGGCCTGAGAAATCACAGTTCTCTCACCCGTACGCCCTTCATCACCCGATCCCAAGACAAAAAGCAAGGCAGCGAGGCAGCGAGAGTCATTTGGCCCCTTAGTTACCGCACCTTGCTCACCAGACTCCACACACGCAATATACACCGCCAAAAGTAACCACACGCCCATCCCACCAACCATATTCGTTCCAACTGGCATGAGAATAATCTGATCTCTTGGTAAGACATGATCAATCTTGTCCTACTGCTTGATAGACTTCATCCCACGCTTAAGCCCCATTGATCCTCCTTCAACCGACCGAAAGGAAAGCCTGAAAACGACCCTCAAAGTCACGTAACCATCCCAAACGACAAGAAAGGCAAACCGGAATTCTGTCGGAAAAGAGATGGACCTACCGCCTCCCACGTAGCCATCCAGACTTGATGGATAATGTACTGAAATGGTTACAGCTTGGGGCACAAATAATCACAGCCTAGCACATGGTTCTTATCCCACGTATGCCCAGCACGAGAGCATTATCGAAGCATCACTTGACAGGCAATCATGTTCCCTCGTGCTGCCGGTCGCAGATTCTCTCTGCATTAGTACTACTACGTGCCGAGTCAAGGACAGAGAAAGAGAGAGCGTAGAGTCACGTGGGCACCTACCTCATGGGTCAGGGTCTGTACGAACTCCTCAAGTTGATCAATCCTTTACAAACGGTTCATTTCAAAATCAATGAGTGAAGGGATATGCTTGCAAGAGAACAAAGATAGAAGCGATACTGCATTGTATAGATTGAGTCTGTATAATACTACAGTACAATGCGCAAAATGCAAGCCGCAGATGATTTGGAAAGAGCCCGCCCTGTGCTTGAGGCGATTCCATAAGGCTGCTTCTTGCTTCTTTGTGTGGAAAAGTGGCATAACTGGTCAGAAAGAAACTACATACTTGGGTCTTTCAGCTACGATGAACATGTCAAAATGATTGTATCCTTCTCAAACTGTGAGAGCCTGGCATCGACTTTTCCAAGACCCTTCTGAGGACCCTGGGAAGCACACATGATCCCTCTTCCACTCACCAATTGATTGAAGCGGACGTTTCTGCCAACAGTCATCTACGTCTCTCAACCTGTTCAACTTCATCCATCCCCCCCAAACCTTCAACTGAAAGTCTCACAAAACTTGAACCTTCCTATAAATCAAGAAGGTGATTACCTCGCAACCCCCCATAGCGAGATATTCCTCATCAACCCCGTGAATCCCTCCCCGACCCGAGCCAAAGGCGCCTCGATCGCAATAGGCGCCCACACCAGACTGTCCCCATCCACACCCAACCTCGTCAGAAACTCCATACTAGCCTCCAGACCATTCGCCTCCGATACCCGAAGAAACGTTCGATTCCCCTTGCCGACCAGACTCACATCCGTCCAGACATCGACTGGGAGACTATAGTTCAGCGAGTACGCGTTACCACCGCTGACCAGGGTGAGGTTGCTGATCGACCCGTTACCGTTGAGAAGCGTGGAGTCAAAGCCAGAGAAAAGCGTTCCCGGCACTTGAGAAGTGGGCTTGACGGAGAAGGAGAGCGTGTAGTCTCTGCCTTTACTGGTGAGCGGCGTTTGCAGGTAACAATTATCGGAGAAGGTGATGGCTGAGTGGCGGATCTGGCAGTCGTGGACAGCGCCGTGGTAGTTGTTCCCTGAGAAGTCCTTGACGCTGGTACTGTCATTCTGAGTGAATCGGTACTCGAGAATCCGCTTTCCTTTGCTCGAAACTCGACGATCGAGATTCTGCCCAGGAACAGCTGCGTGGAGTTTGGCAAATATGCTGTTATATTCAGCTTCGAGAAGATCGCCACCCCACTGTTTGTCGCCCAGGGCAGGAAGGACATCTCGCCATGAATAATATGCTTCCGAGACAGTGGTAGCATTGGGACCATAGTCGTTCCAGAGGGCGGCGATGTGCCCTAGCACACCCGGGCTATCACGGGGTGGGTTGTTCGTGGCGTTCTTTGTATCGAAAATGTTAGGTGCGTATGCGCCTCCAGCGGGATTTCCATGGAATACTCTGGTCTTGTTGAGGTACTGAGGATAACTCCCAGACCACTTCCCGACAATGTAGAATGCGTCGTCGGAGTTGAGAACATTGTATCCATTCTGAAGGTAGTCAAAATAAGGATTGTCCTCAAAGAATTCCCAGTGCTGGATCGAAACATCCTTGCTAACATTGGCGCCTTGCGAAGGTGTGAAGGTTCCCCAGATCCGAACAGCTTTCCCAGACTCCACCTGGATATAGTCGTTCAGTTGATTTACAAAGCCAGTGTAATCATCTACCAAGGAAGAGTTGTATTCGTCCGCTCCGAGGTGGACGGTTTTGCTGTGAAACCAGGGAAGGAGTGTTTTCCAGATGGTTTTCATGGTAGGTATTGTGTCTGGATGACTGATGTTAAGCATGCTGAGATCCTTGAGACCCAGCTCCGGTCGCCATTGAACGATAGCTAGAGCGTGGCCCGGAGCCTCAATCTCGGGTATGATAGTGACACCCCGACGAGCACACTGCTGCTGAATCTGATCAAATTGGGCTTGCGTATATGACTCATTGGCGCGCTTGTTGAGGCCTGCGAGATCATCGGACCATGGGCGAAAGGATGCATACAGATCCATGCTAGCCTGCGTTGAATATAGGTCAACGTTATTGTAGAGGTTGTCGCTAAGATGTAAGTGGAACACGTTCTGCTTGAAGAAGGACAGGTACGAGCAAATCTCTGCCAGGAAGTGAGGTGGGTAGTAATGGCGACCGACGTCAAGCTGGAGGGTCAGCTTTAAACGATTGCAAGGTACTGTCGTTGAAAGATCACTCACCATAACTCCTCGACTGGCCCAACCAGGCGCGTCGACCGCAGAGCCATGCGGGAGAGCATGGCCATGGCCACCCAGAACAGCTGCTTGGATCACTGAGCGCGATCCCCACCAGACCCCGAGAGGACTCGCTCCCGCAATAGTGATTCCATGGCTGTCAACCTCCAACGCATATCCCTCCGAGGTCCACCGCCCAGCAACATCCTGAAAGCCTGTATGGTTTGCGAGAGTCAGAAAGATCGTGTTGTGCCCTCTGCTGCTATTGAGAGTGAGCGGCACATCCAGACCCAACGACGACCGAAGATCTTCTTGGAAAGTAGACGCGAACTCCTGGAGCGTCGGAGGAATCAATGTCTGGCCATTGTTGTCCACATGGTCCAAGTAGCGTGAGTCCACCACGATACTCTCAACATGACGGATGGGAAATGTGCCGTTGCGCTCGATGAATCCAGGAATAGTGGGCACTGTCAGTAACCGGCCGAGTCCTGGTTCGTGAGCGCTTGACCAGCTTTTGACAGAAGAGGAAGCACTCACCTGTGAAACTGAGAGCCAAAATCAAGCAAACGCTGCTGCAAAAGCCCGTCAAAAGCATGGTGGGTGCTTGCGATATTCGAGGGAGCGATAGGCTTGCGCCACCGATGCTTAAATACCAGGGGAACCGGCTTGTTGCGTCCCGGCGATGTCACCTGCCAGGCACCTGCCAGAGTCTGGCCATTATCTGCAAGGTTGCAACGGTTAGATTGAAGTGTATCTCTTTGAATAACAGCCCGAGGTCTGTCATTGGTGTAACAAGTCGATTATCAGGGATGTTTATCGCTGCCCCGCACCCGGTTGAGGAGTTGAAACCGACTAGAAATTAAAGCGCGGGTTGATTCTATCGACTAGTATTAGCGGGTGTGACCTTCTGTACCTTCCCCTCATTCCCACGTAACCGCCACATGTTCGACCGTTCCGCCCTCTCGACACTTACCATCACTATCATCTCTAGTCAGAGGTTTCAGATTGATGACTGACTGACTGATTGATTTAAGCGGTATTCCCGAACGCAGTCCTCTCTACGATGCTTTGCCCGGGTCGCTAGCCGGTATAGTAAGTAACTGCGGCCATCTATATACGTCACTGAGAAGCCCGCCAAGGGCCCTTACACATCCTCTTAAGTGGATTTGGCCTCTCTTGGGTCTGCTTTGGTGACGGAAACGATAGATTTTGATGACTTGACGACTGTGTGGTTCTTGTGGTGGAGAAGCGCCGGCTTGCAATATCAAACATCTCGGCGGTGGTGGTGACGGTGACGTGGTTTTTCAAGAAAATATGAAAAGCATCAAGTTTGATTATTTATAAAGAAAAAAATACGTGCATAGACTTGTGTCAAAATCTAAGAGACATCGGGCTTATAACTGTCAACGATTTGAAGCCTTAGAGGTAAGATGCTGGAATGTATTTTTAATTCTTTTGGTGGTTGTTACTATCTGAAATATCATCATGTTGAAGCAGCCTGATAACCGCGTTGCATCACGTGGCCGGATTTCTCAGCCTTGCCGAGAAGTTCTAACTACTTGAATAAGGGCAAATAATTCTTCATTATCGAAAAAAAAAGCGAAGTAGGTCAACCCCCGAAGGGGGACAGCAACGCAGATAAAAATTCTACTGGTCGTCATCACTATTACAACTGATGTTAGTACTATGTATATGGCTGGTAGGTAGAGGATAACTTACTCCTCTGCCTGATTGAAAGTCTCTTCAAGCTGAATAGAATTGTACGGATTCGCATGCTCTTGCTGTGCCGCCTCAAGCACCCTCAGTCTGTCATCCATATTGATCATATGGGTACGCAATGACGTCAGTTGCTGGCTCATGCCACGCAACATGCTAAAGAGATCTTCCTCCTCCGCGAACCGGCGGCGGGGAGGGGCGTC